TCTATCTATCTATCTATCTATCTATCTATCTATCTATCTATCTATCTATCTATCTATCTATCTATCTATATAGTCGTCTCTTTCTTCCCTGTTCCCACGCTAGGTTGGAGCGTCTCCGGCAGGAGGAATTACTGGAGAAGGCCCGCAAGCTACAAAGCGACCAAAACAGGGTCTCCTTTCAGGAGGAATTTCTCAAGAAGAGAGAGATGGAGGTGCTTCAGTTACAGGTAAAGCAGCCTGTTGTGGGCTGTCGGCCGCTGGAATAGAGAGAGGAGAGGGGAGAGAGCGAGAGGGAGGGGGGAGAGAGAGAGAGAGCCCCCCCCAGCCCCCAGGAGCACTCTATAAGCCTCCCAAAGTCTATGCATGCCCTGTTTTTTTTTTTTAAGGTACAGTATAGTCATAAGGTACAAATAATCAGGAAACAATCAATATCCATATAAATCGTAAGGATACAATCAACAAAGTTACAGTCCTGCAGTCCTAAGTGGGAGGAGATGGGAGATCGGAACGATGAGAAGATTAATAGTAATAGTAATGCAGCCTTAGTGAATGGTTTGACAGTGGTCAGGGAATTATTTGTTTAGCAGAGTGATGTGTTTGAGAAAAAACTGTCCTTGTGTCTAGTTGTCTCTGTGTGCAGCGGTGTAGCAGAATGTACACAGAATGAACATTTTGCTACCCCGCTGCACACCAAGACAACTAGACACAAAATGTACATTCTGCTACACAAAACAGAATGTAGCAATGTAAGCCAAATTTATTGTGAGTAAAAGTTGTGTTGGAAGTGTGACTTCAGCAGTACTGAGGCTTCCTCGTGTCTTGACCTATGGACCACAAGGACGAGTAGGAGTAGACAGTGGTTGACCATGTGTCCCTTCTTTGTCTTATCGCTCTGCCAGCTCTTTGTCTAAGAGATTGATAATTTTGAGTCACGTCTTCCTGCCTTTGTTTCCAAAGAAATACGCAGGGTTTTTGCAAAAAAAAAAAAAATATGGGCCCATTTTCACAATAAATGGGCCGTTTTTTTGCTCATTTTTGCCCCCACCCCCATAGCCCCCAGAAGCACTTTGCAGGCCTCTGATGGTCTCTGCATTCCCTGTTTTTCACAAAAAATGAGGTGTGCAGAGAGTTTGGGAGGCCTGCAGAGTGCAAAAACTTGTTTTTTTAAAATTTACCTCTTCGAAATCTTGGTGCGTCTTATACTCGCCAAAATACGGTAATCATAATATTTAAGGATACAATCTGGTGCTGTTTAGCTTGGATCTCATTCTTGCTCCCTCTTTGCTCTTTCCGTTGCTCCAGGAAGAATCCCAGAACTTCATCACCCTCGAAAACCTGGACCAGCGGATCGAGGAGTGCCTCAACAAGACGCAGAACTACAATTTTGCCGTCGATAAAGAGGGGAGGATAGTTAAGAGGACGGCCATATCGTAGCCCGCTCCCCCACCCCTCTCGCGGGGGGAAGGAATGTTCCCTCCGGACCCCAAGGTTTGCCGCGAGCGATCGAGGGATGCCATACGGCTCCAACCCCATCCGCATCCCTGCTCTCGGAACGGGGAGTGGCGGATAATTCATGCTTCCCAAACTGGCCAAGTCTGATTTGGCAATTGCTCCGGTTCTTTTTCAGGAAGACATGGATCATCTTCAGTGATTTTGGGTGTGTGTGTGTTATTTTGGCATCTCCTCCTGAGTTGCTTCTCGTTTTCGATCTCAGTTTTTGCAAGAGTGACCCTGCCACTGTTCGTTTGCAAAACCGTTTTTGCTCCTTCCTTTTTCACAGATTGGCTTCGTCGGAAAAAGGCAACGATGTTTAGTGAAGTCTATTTTTGGGGAGGTGGGTGGGGAACAATTGACCTATTCTCTAGGTTCTCTGGATTGCTCTGTAATTAAATACAATATTTTATTTTCTGGCTCCGAGCTGTTTATGTCAACTCTCGGTGTTGTCATGGGGACAGAACGGGGGTGGGGTGGGGAGTGTATTCCACGGATACTGTCGGCTGGAGTCGGATCTCAGATTACGGCAGCCGGCTTGGGAGGAGTGCAACTTATAGGGCAAATGTGATTTATGACACAGACTGAGGGCAGGAAAGGAACAAGGGTAAAGTTCTGAGAGAAATCAAAGCAGAGGCTTGACTGCGAACAGATCTTGCCTAATGGTGCTCTGACTGGTTTCGTATTGAAAACTTGACTCGATGCTTATGAATCAATTAGGGCGTTTTTAGGAAACCTGACAGTTTATTTGTCCTTTTTCTTTTTCCAGCACCGACTGAGTTCTTGGGTGATTAATTCCTAAGCCCCGGTGGCACGCAGAGCCCTCTCTGCGGGCACGCCAGCTATCGCCCCAGCCCAGCTCCACCGTGCATGCGCACGAACCTCCCTCTGGCCAGCTGGTTTTCGGATCTGCACATGCACGGGGAATGGGACGCATGTGGGGTTGTGTGCTCATATTGCATTTTGGGGCCTCGTGCAGTACTTCTGCGCCCCGTTCTGAGCCTGGAAATCCTCCTGCTCCAACCTGGAAGCCAAGACCGGGCGAAGGTGTGCAGGGTGCATACGCAGAGGGGAGCACGGGGGTGTATGGTCATGCGGACATGCGGGGGTGTGTGTGTCATGCGTGCATGCACAGTGGGCGGGCCACGGGAGGTGTCTGTTGCGCATTATACTTTTGACAATAAAAGAGTTAGCCACCACAGTCTTAAGCCATTTTGGAGAGTAACGACCGATATCATCACCTAAACCTGTGCCTCCTACACAATTAGTAACACACAGATTTTTCAGTGCAGATAGTGCTCCACCTGCAACGATTCACTTAGTGACCATTCAGATTCGCAGCGGCCCTGAAAAACAAGTGGCTTATGAATGTTTTCCAAACGGCCCTCGCAGGAATCCCCAGGGTCCCATGATCAGAATTCAGATTGTCAACGGACTGACATGTGTGACGGTTGCACTGTCCTGGGGGGTGGGGTGGGAGGTTTCATGTGATTTCCTTTAGCGACCTTGTGGACGAGTAAAATCAACAGGGAAGTCTGATTAACTTTAACAACTGTGTTCCTAACTTAAGAACTACAGTGAATCAGTTAACGCGGCGAGAAAGGTTGCAAAACGGCAAAATTCACTTCACAATCATCTCACCTAGCAACGCAAACGTTGAGCGCAATTTTGAAATCATTCGAATGAAATCGTAATCTTGGTGGAATAAAACTCGCAGAGAAAATGCCAACGGTTAAAAAAAAAGGCCACCGCATAAACGGTGTAGTAAGAGAATAGTCCCTTAAGTTATTCCTCCAAATTCGATGGCCCCTGGTAACGGCCTTGTCTGTAACTCTGCACTGACAGGAAAAACATCTTTGGGGCTATAAGTTTAGAAGGCCAGAACGGAAACTTAAAATGCTTAGGGCAAAAACGTGTCCATCATTTGACAAGAATAGAAAGAATTAAAATGGAATGAAACAGAGCAGAGCAGAATAGGAACAGGAACAGAATAGGAATAGAATAGAATAGAATTCTTTATCGGCCAAGAGTGATTGGACACACAAGGAATTGGTCTTCGGTGCATAAGCTCTCTGTGTGCATAAAAAGGCAAGATACATTCGTCACGAATCATAAGGTACAACAATAATTAATCATAGGGTACAAATAAGCAATCAGGAAACGATAGAATAGAATATAGAATAGAAATATAGAATAGAAATACAGAATAGAATAGAAATATAGAATAGAATATAGAATAGAGATATAGAAAAGAGATACAGAATAGAATATAAATATAGAATAGAATATAGAATAGAGATATAGAAAAGAGATACAGAGAATATAAATATAGAATAGAATATAGAATAGAAATATAGAATACAATAGAAATATAGAATAGAAATATAGAATAGAAATATAGAATAGAGTAGAATATAGAATAGAAATAGAATAGAAATACAGAATAGAATAGAAATACGGAATAGAATAGAAATATAGAATAGAAATACAGAATAGAAATATAGAATAGAGTAGAATATAGAATAGAATAGAAATATAGAATAGAAATACAGAATAGAATAGAAATATAGAATAGAATATAGAATAGAGATATAGAAAAGAGATACAGAATAGAATATAAATATAGAATAGAATATAGAATAGAGATATAGAAAAGAGATACATAGAATATAAATATAGAATACAATAGAAATATAGAATAGAAATATAGAATAGAAATATAGAATAGAGTAGAATATAGAATAGAATAGAAATATAGAATAGAAATACAGAATAGAATAGAAATATAGAATAGAAATATAGAATAGAAATACAGAATAGAATAGAAATATAGAATAGA